GGCTGATGCACAAGAGAATGCTGTGCTGGAGTCCTTTGGGCTGAAAAATGAACAGGAGTCAAGAGAAAAGTGTAGCTAATCTCAGTTGCAACATTAATTTCTTGAATTTTGTGAAGGTGTGTTTTCTCCATCCACACCACAGGCTGGAGAAAACTCATTCTTCACTTGGTGTTACACTGGTGTAATGAGGAAACCTGGGCTTCAGCATGTGGCTACATGCACTTACTGCTTTAACTTTATCTGATACCCTGGGATGATTTGAGTACTGAAGGTCAGAATTGGAAAAATTACTTCCTCAAACAGTCTGGTATTTCCAGCTAGTATTGTTTTTAGTTAAAAGTCCTACAGTGACCATTTAAAAAATAAATTATAAAGACTCTAATTTACAACAATATTTTCTTTTATATTTGACTTGTACTTTTATCTTGACTTAATTCCATGGTACTCAGCTTTCCTATTTCTGCTGTTATGGTTGCTGATGGCACTTGCTAATAGTATCTGTCTTTGGTTTTTCCAGGCCTGTGGACTCACAGAAAGAGACATTGCTACAATTAAATTACTGAATGAAACTAGAGATATGCTAGAAAGGTATAGAGAAATATGCTGTATTCACATTAAACTCCTCTTCAAAACTATTGTTTATGTAAGACAATTACTTCCATACGAAAAGCTGCCAACTTTTCATTTGAGAAATGTGACCATTCTGCATTAAATTTTTCTATTTATCAGTTGTAGGCTGGGATTTTCAAAATTTGTGAGCTCTGAAACTTTTAAAGAAATAATGCTGTCTTAATGAGATACCCAGGATGTCCTTGGCAATCAGACCTATTATCTCTTCCTTACCCACTCTGTAGTAATGTAAGAACAGAGGAGTACTTCTCTTCTGCTAAAGCAGGGTAAATTGAGAGTAATTTTATTGAATTTACTTGCTTTGATAAAGTGAACACCAGTTTTGGCTTACTGGAATTTATTTTTAATGCATGGTTTTGAGGGTGGTTGTATGTATATACCAGAGAGCTGGTAAATGTGAGGCTCCTGTAATAAAAATAGGATATGAGGGAATTGAGACAAATGTCAAACTATTCTTAAGACTTTAGCTGCTAGGGATGTGGAGCACTTCAAGGTTAAGTCACTTCTATGTTATTGCTTAGTAAGAAATAGAAGTGAGGAATGCTTCAGGTTTAACGGGGTTTTAGTAACCTTAGCACAGAGTGGTGATGGTGCTGGTGTTTCATGAGGTGACAGTGCTAGTGGCATTTGTCTGGCTCACACATCACCCATGAGGGGAGGCACACCTGTAGCACTGAACACTTACAGGGCTTTTTAGTTTCAAAAAAACTAAACCCAGGAATAAAACCTTTTTTTCTATTATTCTTTCTTTTCAGTCCAGACTTCAGTACAGTTTTGAGCACATGTTTAAATAGAGGATTCAGTCGACTGCTGGACAATATGGCAGAATTCTTTAGACCTACTGAAAAGGACCTTTCTCAAAACAGCTCTGTAAATAGGTAAATGTTTTCATTTGTTGTGGTTCTTTTGTCAGTAAAGCTTTGGGTTCATAGTGAATTCCAAAAAGGCTCTTGATTTTCCTGCCTACTTGGAGTTCTTTTACTGGAAATATTTTTCTGCTTCTTCAAGGATCACTGGGTTCTCCTCACTGTGGCCAAGTAGGCAGCTAGGAGGATTCATGTTTCCTCCCGTCCATGAAATCACTAGAATTGGGTGATGTTCTTTCCCACCTTTACTTGCATTCCTAGAAGTAGAGATCAGATGACCTGTACCCACTTCTTGCCTGAGCACAGTACAGGCAGGCTGCATTTTGGGCTTGGGAGGTTTCACCTCCTGACCAATGTGCCCAGTGAGGCTGTGAGAAGGAGAACCCTCCCTCCCCTGCAGCCCATGAGCTCCAAGCACCCCAGCCTCCATCAGTTCCTGTGGTTCTCAGGGAAGGGGGATGGGCATTTCCTTGATCCTCCGGTGACAGGGAGCCAAAGCTGCCATGGAGCTTTAGGTTTCACTGGTATGCAGATAAAATACAGTAACATGTAGGATTTTCTACATCCTCCTACAAGAATGTTTAAAAATAGCTTTTAAACTGAAGTTAACTTGTGTTTTAAGCAGTGCGGTGAGAGCATTACAAATCCAAAAGCTGAGTTCAAATAATTGAAATTATCTTTCTCAAATATTAAAATTAAAACCTGGAATGATAACTGGGTTTATGTGTGTTTATTATAGTAACTTGGCTTTCAGAGAGTTATGTTTTAATTTAAATATATACTATTTACATCACTTAAAATACCCCAGAGTCTGTAGTTTGGCTATCTGCCTAAGTCTGGTTTAGTTTGAAATAATGAAATTGTAGACAGGCACGTCTATGACCTGTGTACTTACATACACATGCAATCACTCTGACTAAACCATAATACTCTTGCATGAGAAGCAAGTGTGAAACTGCAATAGGAACATGGACTGGAATTGAATTGGTACTTCTCTATATTAAAGGAAAACCTTGATATGGAGAAAAAACCCTTCATCCATACCTTTTAGTTTGCAGTCTTTCAATTCTTAACTTTTTAAGTAATTCTAATTACTTAGAATTATATAGTCACAGTTTAGTGGCTTCATCTGTGTCTGAGCAGGTCAGTATTTTTTATTCTTTCCTAGTCTTTCCAGTGTCAGTCTTCCTTTAGCCAAGATAATTCCAATAATAAATGGACAGATCCATTCAGTATGCAGTGAAACACCCAGTCACTTTGTTCAGGTAAGAATCTGCCTTATTTACAGTATCCCAAGTAAAATCTTGAAATTAATGTTGTAAATTTCTTTTTAATGATTTGTTTCATTTCAGTGGCTTTAAAAAATAAATTGAAAACAGTTGCCGTAACAAACTTTGTCAATTGGTACCTTCCAAAAATACAGTTTTTCTAAAACTTCCTTCTGCTGAACCATGCAGAAGCACAAACTTTTGGCCTTGGTTCTACCTGCAGGTCTGCTCCTAAACCTTTCTAAAGCAAGAAGTTCGAGCTGTGCCTGTGGGAGTGCCAGGTGCCTTTCTTAGGAATTCTGTACTGCAGTACAGGCAGAATAGTGGGGAATGTGTTTGATTAAGGAAGTTTATTTTACATTTCTTCCAGGACCTGTTGATGATGGAACAAGTGAAAGATTTTGCTGCTAATGTTTATGAAGCTTTTAGTACCCCTCAGCAACTAGAGAAATGACCTGCACATTTTTACAAATGGATGATGTATTTATAACAAATCTCTGGTGACTACTGATGAGACTTGGGTTAATTTTATAATGGTGTAGGAGTGGCAGACCAGCAGAAAGAGCACTCTGAGGAAGGTGGGAGTGAGCCCATATTTTCTTCTAACCAAATCATACTTCACCCATTAAAAATGTTCTTGTTGAAAGAAACATTGTAAGTGAAGATATTTCTATTTAAATTGTGTAATTCCTTGGATTATTTTTTATTGCATCTAAAAGGCATCTGGTGGCAGTATTACAGCAAGTTACTAAAAAAGCCATTTTTTTGCCTGGGCTGTGTAAGTTTGGGGAAGAACTAATGATAGTGATCTAAGAATAGCACAGAGCAGCAAAATGAAGTAATGCTTTTTTCTTCTTCTTCCCCCAGATTTTTCTTTCTATGAAGTAAATATTTTTGCCCTTAACTTTACAAATCTTGCTCCAAAGTCTCTCATTCTTCAGAAAGCCTTTAGCAATGGATGCATGTTCCCCTTGAATAAGCTGGGAGTCTGCTCTCTCTGTTACTTAATACTAAAGGAATGTGGTTTTTTAGACATACTCTCGTTTATGCTGTTCAAACAGCTACACTGTACACATTACCTTGTAAATATTTTATCTTAATTTGTATTAATTTTGAGCCCAATTGTCTGTATTGTAATAAAATATTTTAATGTATAATTTGTGTGTGTATTAACATTACTAGGGAAGAGAATAACCTGACCTATCAAATGAACTCAAAATCCTGACAGAGTTGAAAGAATAAATTTAACTTATACAGTACTAATGTTGCACTCACAAACATTACTCAGGGAAAATAAACCTTCAATCTCTACACTGAAACAGAAATAATTCATGCTTTTTGTTGTCCTCCTCTTTGCAAGTTTCACCTTGTGTGTCTGTCCCTACAAATCATGACACATGATGAGTTTGGAAATTTTTCAAGTTGGATGCAGTCTACTCTCTGCTTAAAATGTTGTCTCTTTGCCAAAGCTGAAGATCCCTAGCAACTCCTGATTATTTCTCTTTTTCAAGAGTTAGTCACTGAAGTATATATTTTGCTTAATAGGCCACAGAAGGCACCCTGGTAACTGTGTATAAACAAAGGCTGTAAACAAGAGGCAAGTTTTATGCCATGTAAAATTATACAAAATATAAAACCCAACCCTCTCCCAGTTTACCTGTGTCCCAATAATGGATGGAGTTGCTCAAGAATAGGAACATGTAAAATTAATTACTTCCATGATAAGAAGTTATGATGTACATATGCATTGCCTGTATGCATTTATGATGAATTCCTAACCCTTACAGGCTTCTTGCAGACATTACCCTATTCAGCTGAAACTGCCAGCTGCCACTAGCTAAACACACCTGGAAAAAGTACATTATTTTCTCTAAAACTGTCAGGTTTTACTGTGCAGTTTTGTGGAAGGTAAATTTCTTGCATTAAAGAGGGTGTACAACTGACTTAGGTGCCTTGATTACCGGCTTGAGCTTTATTCTTTCTTTTGTCTCTGAAAATCTATGCCTGTTTCCCCCCACCTCATTCTTCACATAACTTGGCCAGAAACTGACTAAACCAAGTGTAAAGGTCAAGGGTAGCTGCTCAGTGTTTCACACAAGTTCAGAGAAACAAACTCTGTGCAGAGGATCAAGTGCTAGACTAGTGAGGTTATCTAGTGCTAGACTTTGTGAGGTTTGTTCCAGTCCATCCTTTAATAACAGCCCACCTCTCATAGAAAAAATGAATTTATTGGTCTTTCTCAGTCAAACAAGTTTAAAACCAGTGATAGGAAAGAGCAAAGCATTAGCACTCCCTGCTAGCCAGGACTCCAGCAGAGTATTGGCTCAGTCTACATGAGTCAGTTGTAAGGTCCAGCCCCACTGACATGGCATTTGCTGAGGAGTCAATTGAGGTAGAGCAATAACCATTCCCTTTTCTCCCAGGGCAACCCATTTCAGCAGCTCCCTGTATCCAGCCAGCTTCACCTAAAATAGAAACACACACTATAGTCAGAACAGCGCCTTTTCAAAGTACATATAAGTGCAATATTGACAAAATAATTATTGATCCATAGCTACCTTACTCACCAAGTATCCTAAAAATGCCACTTACCAACAAATGAGTGATAATTATTAAAGATAAAGGGAAAACATTTGTAAGTAGTTTGCAAGTGAAAAAGCTACTCATGTTGGGTTGTGAGAAGGACTTAGGGCTGTAGAAAGTGAATAAACACCTCTTGGAAGCATTTGGAGTAGGATTTAGGTCTAAGCAGAGATGTAGCAGCCACAGTATAGAGCTTTGCATTTCCTGTTCCCAAACGGCCTGCTTCCCGTGGTGAAACTTCTAGTCTTGAATGAGCATGACTTTGTTACAGAGGGCAGCCAGGTATCTCAGAGAAAGCTGATCTGAAGAACTAAAAACCACAAATAGGTTGATCTTGTCACTTACAGCAGCTGGTGACCTGCTGGAGTGGCTGCAGACCAGTCTCTGCTGCTGGGGAACAGTACTTTCTAGTACACACAGAGTCTACCTGCCCCCCTAAAATTCCAGAGGCATCTCCATCACTTCTGAAATGACTCCTTCTCCCCTATCACAGAGCTGTCTTGGCACCAGTCAGACTACTTTCATATGGAACTAGACCAGAGGGGGCAGTCCAGGAAACACTCCTAATGCAGTTCAGCAGCTAATGGATGTGCAGTGCGTGAGACCAGAGCAGAGTTAAGCCAAAGTGAATCTCTCCTTAAATGCACAGAGTTGATACCAACTTCTGCTTCCATTGGGTTACTTGCTACTTGCCAGTGTAGGTGTGCTATCACTGTCCTCATCTTCTGACCTCCACTTGGTATAAGATGCACATCTAGGGTAACACTGATTGCTCTCCAGCCTCTCTGGGCAACAAAAACCTCTGTGTACATTCCCCTCCTGCAAGACTTTGACAAACAACTGCACCACTACAGCAACTCCGGTATCACCAAAGTCATGAGGACAGCCACTTCTAAAGAAAAGTCATGCTGAGTTAGGAGTCTACACAGGAAACAGGAGGGGTGGCACAGTTTTTTCCCCTGCTCCTTGGCCTCTTTGTGATTCTTATTTTACAAGATAAAACATATCCCAGCAACATCTCGGTCTAACTTTGTTGGATAAGAAACATACCACTGAGAGGACTATGACCAGGAGGTCCCAGAAAGAAAACAAACATTTTGCTGACTCTCTTCCAAAGTACTCTGTCCTAAGAGCTATGCATTCCCAAAGATGCCAGAAACTTAAATAAACAAGATGGAATATGACACATCCTAGAAGGAAGGGAGGGGTGTGTGTGTGCACTCTCTTTTACCTGTGTTTCTCCAAGCTTAGCCCGTGGCTCACCAAGCTCCAGAATCCCAGAGATTGGCCAGTTAAGGAAGATAGCATTGACTTTCCCTTCTTTAGGGGTGAAAGTGTACCTGGTTGGAAATGGGGACCAAAAAGGCATGTCAGCTTTTCCTTGTAAATCTTTAGAAGTGATACATAAGAGTGCTTTCAAGACTGGAAAAATGGATTAGAAAAGTCAGGATTAATTGCATTTTCACACACATAACCACCTGGTCAGATGAATTATGCTCTTTAATAAAGTGCTGTTCCTTGAAAATTTGTTTCAACAAACTAGAGGTAATGAAAACTATTAAAGAACTGAATTCAGAGGTAAATATCTGTTGTAGCTTTGGTTCACTGTATCAACTCAGCCATATAGGAAGGAGATACTTGCAGGATGGGGAATCATTAACAGATAACTGTTACATTCAGGAAAACATGGTAACTCCCATCTATACACTAACATGCAGACTAGAAGCATTTAATAATAGTATGAGCAACAGAGTTTCCACTTTGCATAGCTAGTTTTTAAAAATACTATTTTCATCACTATGCCATTGTAAATCTTGTGGCATACCTCTGAAACATCCCTCCCTCCTTCCTATTTAGTTACAGTTTTTTATTCCTCTTAGAAGGGATTTTACTAAACAGTCAACAGTTCAGCATCTCCAGGCTAAAGCCAGATGGCCAAACACCATCTGAGACAAGAGGGCCAAGACCAAACCCCTGATGGATCATGAAGGTGTTAAGAGAAGCTACAAGTAAAAAGGGCAGAGGGAAGGCCAGAGACTGACTGTATTTAGCGACCAAATAATTGCTGTTATCTTCCCACTTTCTATCTAAACATCAAGTGACATTGAGTATTCCTTTGTTCAGATAAACACTTCATAGCAGTCTTGTATTTCCAGATTTTTTTCATTTCTGTTGCCTGCTAGAAGCCAACAGAATTACCTAACAGATTAGCCTACACCAAGAAGCAAAAGACGACCAAAGAAATGCTTGCAGCTTTCTTTTCAGCCTCAGCATCATCCCAAAACTAGTCTCCACCTACAGCTTTATACACATTTTAGATGCAATTACTTGCACTAACAAAAGCATTCATTCCTTCACCACACACAAACTAAGACAGTAATTTCTGTAGCATCAAGTCATTAGGGATTTCAAAGCTTCACATAACATTAGCACTCCTTTCCAGAGCCTGCATTTTGGTTCAGGAGACTTACCAGACTCCAGGTGTGACAGTGTCGTTCTGTGCTCTCCATGGTTTCGTTCCATAGATGGCCTCTCCATTGACCTTCAGCCAAGAGCCCACCTGCCTCAGGCGCTCCTCAAACACAACAGCGATGCGGCCGTCGTGGGTGGGCCCGATGTTCATCAGGAGATTTCCTCCATAAGACACAGTTTCTGCAAGTTGCTGAAGTGTTTTTAAACACATAGAGCATATGGTTATGAGAACTGACATCACATACTTGAAGCACTTTCTGAAGTCTGCTGTACTGCTTCAGAATGATGAACCACAAGAGTTATGCTACTGCTGCATGCTGAGACTTTGGGATTCATCTCAGAAGTTAATACAAAATTTTAGCTCCCATAAAACAAAGCTCTACTGTCAATTTTTACGTCCAAAACCAGCCCCAAATATCTTCTTGCACCAACATGTCTGCCTCAATCCACATTAGAATCAGATTCTGCTACTCTTTAGCATTTCAACTTCTGCAAGAATATATTGAGGGTTTTACCAATAGGAGAGATGACTTCTCTGCACCAGAGCAGAATAAGGCAAATACTTGCTACTTCATCTTTATTGAATCTTAGAAAAGCAGCTTCCTCCTTCCTCCTGTTTGATGCCTTTCCTACTTTATAGAACCACCTGTAAAACACAAGGAAGCCTCCTACAAAGCCTACAAAATTTGTGTTCACATCCACACTGCCCTCCAGAGATCACAGACTGAGATGCATAAGTCTGAGAAATAGACATCTGCAGACATGTTGCTGAATTAATTCAAACCTTTTGCCTCTGAAAAGAGGTTACTTCAAATTCAAATTGTCTTTTGTGAGGACAGCACTAGAAACAGCAACAATATTAAGCAACAGTAACAATATTTCCCTTACTGGCTGAATTCTGCAACTGAATGCATTATTCTGGAAGACTGATCCGTCTTCCTTCCATTCCGGTCTCCTAAGCTTCAGATCTTTTTTAATACCTCAGCCTAGTAAGAGAATCAATGTTCTAATAATATCAGCTGTCTGCTTCTGGTAGTGTTTACCTGTATGTCTGTAAGGAAAGTGTCTCACTACAAAGTAAAACTACTGCTGAGTCATAAACTGTTTCTATCTGTACAGGGAAAAGATGTAGCCTTCCAGCAGGAGTTCCTAAACAGAAGCTGTGAAACTGCAACTGTTTGCTTCTCATCAGCTTGCATGTGCAGTTACCAGAGAAACTTAGTCGAAAAGGTAATAATGAGACTGTGAAGATCAGTCCTTGGCCAGTTACTCACACGGAAAATGGCTTCTGAGACACTGACTGAATTTTTACTAGAAATTAATTCTATAGAAATGACTAAGAGAAAGATAAAAAATTACATGGATTTTCCATCCTGCCAGCATTAAGGCTGGAAATTAACAAAATTATTTATTGTTTCACAGATTCACTACTGAATTAAAATCATCTTATTCACAAAAATAGATACATAATCGAGCAGTTAAACAGCACAACGTAACAGTCAGGAGAGAGAACGTGGGGCAGCAGCAGCTGCTGTGGCCCGCGGTACCTTCACCAAGTCCTCGATGGGGAGGTAGTCCCGGAGGCGCGCGTCCCTGCGGTAGCCCCAGGAGCTGCGGTCCATGGTCATGCAGTTCTCCCACTTGCGGGGCAGGAGGTGCCCGGGGTTGTAGCGGTCGCTGCACGTGTAGAAGCCGCCGTGGGCGCAGATGCTGCCAGCTCCCCAGCGGTCATTGGTCACTACCGTGTCCTGGACAGGGCTGGGAAAAGAGGAGTTTTATTATTCTTATTCTATGAAACGCGGTCACAGCCAGCGTAATCCCTTCCCACACACATCCCTCCCAGGAACTAACATTTTGGATGACTTCTGTACTGTTAATTTATTACAATAAGATTAAGTGCAATGTCAGGAATTTTATTCTCATGCTTTGCTAATAAAAGTTCCAGATCAGAATTTCTTGGGGAAATAAGCTCCAGACTTTTACAGGAGCTCTGCCAGAAATCACTCTGCACTTCATAACTACTGCCAGATGCTCAGTCTGTGATGGCAACAATGTATCCATATTCTCAAATTGTCCTGCTATTCTTTGGTTTTGTGCAACAGCAAATACTTAGGGAAGACTATGATTAAGCAGAATAGCCAACACCATCTTAAATGATTAATTTGCAAATGTATTTTAAAAATACAAACCAGTCTTTTTCTAAAACCAGCTTTGATACTTGTAGGAAAAATCTGGATTCTATATTTCAGGAGAATTAATATTTTGTAAAGTCCTCTTAAGCAGAAGTAGCAGGTTCCAAAAAACAAACAGAAAATGAAACAAACTAGACGCAGCAGAATTTCAAATAAGGAGCTGAACCGGCATTATTATGTACCTGTCATTATACAGCCAAGCCAAGAAACCAGTGCTGTTCCAGTAAGTATCTGGAGCATTTCCATCCCCATCAGACCAAATTATTTCTGGCTGGTACTTGGTCACAATTTCATAGAGTTCTGGTAATGATTTGCTGGTTGGAAACTTGCTTGTGTTAAAGGCATTGGTGGCATCCTCAAGGAAGAGAGGATTGAACCATTCAAACAGGGAATGGTATAACCCAAAATGCAAGTCAGTCCTGTTTCTAACAGATGCTGCTAGTTCAGCAACAAGATCTCGCTTTGGTCCCACATCAACAGCATTCCAGTTCCAAGAATATTTGGACCCCCATAAAGTAAAGCCTAAAAAGAGAAAAATCAGAAGGTATGAAAGAAAAGAAGAAGAGAGGACATTACAGTTCCTTCTGGAAAGTGGTTGGAAGTGTTGCAAAAAATAAAATAATAAAAATTAAATATGTAATAATATTGCTGTCATGGTACAAAGTGTGCCTATAACCTGTTTATGCACAATGGTAGAAGTTTTAATATCAGAACACCATGTATTTTTTTATACATATACATTTATATTTTCCAGTTGTGTACTGCTTAGGAGAATTATTCCTTCTCTTTAATTATTCAGTCTATTCATACATGCCAATTAAATAAACTAGATGGCTTTTAAGACCCCTTCCAACACAAGGCATTCTCTAACTCTACGACTGCAAAATTAACCAAAAATACACCAGCTTTTGAGGCATCTACATCAAATGTGAACTGTAAATACACAATCAGCAAGTGAAAGATAGAACTGTTTCTCAGCTGCAGAAAGTCCAAGCTATCATTTGCATTCAAAGACTGTTCTCCTCTTTTCTGTTTCCATCTTATGCAAATGTTCACTTTTTGTTTGCCTTGATATTTACAACAGCTCAATCAACTGCTGTGTATATGTATAAGGAGAAGGCAAAAACTCCTGAAACAGCTGTTAAAACATCAAGATTAAATATCAGAAGGGATTTGACCTTTCAGACATCCATCAGTCCAGCACAACCACTTACAAATAAAACTGCACTACAGACTCAGACCACTGCCAGAGGAGCTCGACTCTCACCTTGTAACCCCTTTATACTCACTGTCTAATCAATCTTGTGCTATTTCCGTGAACTGGATACATGCAACTGTACTGACTAAACAACCAAAAATTCGTGCACAAAGCTACTGGACAGACTAAATGAAGTGACTTCTTTTGAAGTCACTTGGAATTTCACCCCAAGTGAAATTCAAGATCAAGAATTATGTGTGTCAGAGCTGAGATTAAAATTGACACATCACAAGTTGCCAGCCTTAAACCTACATCCCACAAAGACCAACAACATTCACTAGATGTATTGTAGAATATCTTAATGCTTTATACTTTCTATGCTACTGTATTTCCTTCCAAAAGCTTTCTTTTTCTTTACTTTTCTCTGCAAAGTACCTTAGAATTACAGTGCTAAAAAAAAATTGTGCCTGTAAAACTACAGATCTGGTTCAAGGTTTTGGCTTCTGTACACTACATCAGGAAGAGATATACCATCCTAGTTGACTCCTGGAACATATTCCTAAATTCCTTGGAGAAACCAAAGAAGTTTGTTAACTGTCTGCTCCCTGCACCTCTCCAAATGTTAAAGAGTGCAGAATTCACTTTTATGGTTCCTTCAGCAACATACTGCACAGAAATAAAAAATAAACTATGGCCACTGCAGGAAGCTCAGCTGCCAGCACCACTTTGGGGTGTCTTACCTACAGCAAGAGAACAGTGGCACAATCTATTGCTCCTCCTATGCAATAGATACTCCATGGCTACAGCTTTTGTGTAAGAGTCAGGAAAACACCTGCAGATTTCTTGGGAAGTTTTTGTTTCCTCTTTGGCTGTGGTAGGGCAGCTAAGCCTGCCTGGTTTTCTCTATATGTCTCTTAGAAGGTAGAAAAGCCACATGCTTTTTACATCTCTTGACAGAAATGCAGCAATTACTAACATTCACAAAGCTTCCACTTACCCTCATGATGTTTTGAAGTTAAGACAACATATTTTGCACCTGAAGCCTTCAGAATATCTGCCCACTGGTTGGGATCAAAGAATTCTGCTGTAAACAGAGGACCAAAATCTTCATAGCTGAAGCCAGGTGGGTAATTTGTGTCCATAAATTTCACATAGGGTTCTCTCTTTTCCTTCTGCCAGTACCACCTACAAAATACAGAACAAAGCATGTCTGCTGATGCATTTTTAGATAAAGAAAAGAGAATTTAAATGATCAGCTCCTATTTAACACTGAGAGGTAGAGGCATTGAAGGTACATGACAATAAGACGAAATTGCTCCAGAAGAGTATTGATTAGCAAAGATTTCCTTTTTTCTATCTTATTTGTCCATGTTATACATCTTTGCACTCCACTTTGGAAAGGTCTCAGAATTTCACCTGAAGCAATGAAAAAAGCAGCTACACTTTGAGAATGGAAAAATTAAGTCTTGGTCAATACCCAAATCCCAAAACTGTACTAGAGACCACAGACAGTCTGTGTAAGCAGCTCAGGAGGCACAAGAAATGCATTTTTCCTGGACTTGCACGTCTCACCTCCTCAAGTCTCACACCTCAGCCATCAGGCATTTCTGCTCTGCCCCCAACATTGCAAACCCTGCCACTCACAAATACGGGGATCGTCAGCTTTACCTCTCTGACAGTCCCAAGCCCTCTACACATCTGCAGCTGAGTGACCCAATGTCCATGACCCCAGGGCCAGAGAGAGCTGTGACCAGGTCACTGCAGACTCTGCACACCCGAGGCTTGCAAGCAAAGGCACCCTGCTAGATGAAAGCACATCCTCCAACCAAAACCTGCCCCTGCAAGAACACCACACACTTACAAATGCACCTCTCACCTTCCTATGAATGAAACCAAGCAGCAAAAATCCTCTTGTCAAATTTAGACTTATATGAAAATAGATTGTAAGTGAACGAATAAAACAGGCCAGAATTTTAATGTTTGAAATTAATTTCTCTCTCCTGTCCTGTGCTGGACTCTGACCTCAGTTCTCTAAGACCATAGTGTGAATATTGTTGTAAGCTTCCCAAAAACACTTCAGCATAAACCAACACAATCTGTGGCAGCCAAAAGGAAAAAAAAAACTTAGAAGAAAGAGGCTGAGACAGCTTTCCTCATTGAAAGAGCCGGAGCAGAGGAAATAACAACAATAAAGCAAAACAAACAAATTTTAAAAAATAAAAACAAACAAAAAACCTCTCTGACTTCAAAGTATGTAATTTCTTAAATTAAAAAGTAACAACCTTGCTTCTCTCCCATAGCCACATGGTTTGCTAACATGAACACTTCTATGCTGACAGGATTAGGTTCTAGAAACATCCTTACCAAAGCTGTGGAGCTCTGAGGGAAGGCACACAGGACGGGTGAACACAGTGTGTGACCTTCCATTTGATGCTGCTAATACAGGACCTCAGTCATCTGACTGCACAAGCTGTCAAAGGCCCTGAAGCAGCTCTAGACCCACACCTGCCATGGGATAGGAAAATACAGAAATATAACAAGCAATTAGAGTTGTGGGGTCAAAAATGAAATGCTCCATCCTGAGCCTGTACACCACTATCAGAGCACAGCACTCTGAGTGAGGCTTGAATCCAAACCTAGTTCTGTCCCACCTCTCTAAAAGTACTTTATTAGTAAATGTACTCCGCATTAAAACCTGCTGAAACGCTTGACCTTAATTCTGAAAAGAAAGGTGTCAGAAAACATTGGTTTGATTAGATACATGTTGGTTTGTTTTGTAAATATTGTAATTAAGGTTCACCGTTGCTCTGCCACAAAGCTACCCTTATCTTCATATTGTAAATAATAATGTGTCTCACTTGAAGTCTTACAGGAAGTACTTGGTAGAGCATGGAAAGGTGACAGCAAAAACATGCTTACAGTCAAAGGGCCTGAACCAGTGAACACTCACAGAACAAAGATTTCATTGAACTAAAATTATCTGAAGGATCAGAGCTTTAGATTCTCTTAAGTGCAAAGCATTCTCGAATAATAGTAATAACGGTAAAAAAAAAAAAAAAAAAAAAAAAAAAAAAAGAAAACCATCAGCAGCACAAAATGTGCACAAGAAAACAGCAAGGCAGCTTGCCAAGTAAGGGTAGCGATGGGCTCCTGGCTCCCCACAGCGCTCCAGCAGGTGCACAAGGCTGCTCCAGAGGCTGGGAGATCCCAAACAGAAATACCCTGGGAGACCGCCTTCACCATCCCTCCATGGTGGTCCTGGGGAGGTGTCTTTCGGCCCCTCCACCAACCACCTCTCTGTGGGGCAAGGCACTTCTCTCAGCTCTACCGGCTCTCTGCTTAATTTAGTCACTTCAGCCTAGGTATTCAGCAGTTTTTGGGGCTCGGCAGGTGCTCAGACACACCAGAAGCACTTCAAACTCCACCTCCTCTGAAAACTGCGCCATGGAGTCCGTGAGGTCGGCCGGACACAGAGCTCTTCCCACACGCCTGAGCTCCACGGTCAGCCTGCCGAGGGCCTCCAACCCAAACCAGGGCTGTACAGGGGCACACCACACCATCCCCGCCTGCCCCGAGAGCTGCTTCCCCAGCGGAGCCCGGGGGCCGCCGGCACGGCCCGTCCGCCGCAGCGCTTCGGGTGCGAGCAGAACGCTCTGGCTGCAGCTCACCAGAACCACTCGCTGCCGAAGCTGGGCACCGAGAACACGCCCCAGTGGATGAAGACGCCGAACTTCGCCTCGTCAAACCAGGCGGGCAGTGGCCGGGCGTCCAGCGAGCCCCAGGTGGGCTCGTAGCGAGGCCGGGCCTGCGGCAGCCCGGGCAGCCCCAGCAGCAGCAGCGCCAGCGCGGCGCGCCCGCCCGCGCCCGACATGGCGGCGGCGGCGGGGCCGGACGGGGCTCTGTGGGACGGGACTCACGGCGCTGCGCGGCCGGGCTGGGTTGGGCCGGGCCGCGGAAAGGAAGGGAAAAGAAGCGGGACACGGGCAGGGCGGGCCCCGCGGCGCCCAGCCGGCACCGCTGCCCCTTCGCTCCTCCCCCGCGCCGCCCGCCTCCCGGGGGCTCTTCCCCATGGGAGCCGCTCCATCTAGCTGCTCGACCACAAACTGCCCTCTGGATTTTAAGGATTTTAAGAAAATGAAGTAGTTGGCTATTGCCTCGGCCGACATCCCGCCGTGCTTTCCCCCGCTCCGCCGGCTCCTCCCCCGCCCGCCCGGTCGGCCTCGCCCGAGAGCGGCCGGACGGCTCTGCTGGATCTGCTGCCGGACCCGGGCCCGAGCCTTGGATCTGCAGCCAGAGGTGACCTCGGCAGCCTGCTGGGTTTGTCCTTCCCGCCTACTCCGACCACAGGCTCAGCTTCCCTCGCCCTCCCAAGAAAAACAGGGTGTAGCATCGCTCTGCAGCTCCTTCCAGCCGACTTGGACGTGGAGGCATCCCGGGCAGAGAGGCGGCCCAAAGCCTGTCAAGGAAACATTTCTCTCCCATCATTAGCATGGCCTGTGCAGAAGCTGCCTGAACTCAGTAGATGACACTTGGCGTTTGTGCTACGGATCAGGGGTGGCAGGCACATCCTTTAAAAGATACATCTTCCAGCAATTTGCTGCCCACGCTGGTGCTTCTCCAGTCTTTCCTGATGCCTGAATTTTCTGGTTTTACTTCAGCCCCCAGCTGCCATGGGACAGACTTTGTGAAATAATTTGGTTTAATCAGCAAATACTAACTTTTTATAATCAGCACCACAAAGAGAAATTCCTTTGGCAATCTCATTAGAACAGTCAAAAATAAATGAGCAGGCAGCTGAATGAATCTCTCTCCAACTGGAAAGGACGCATACTTTACTGTTCTATGGAAATAGAGCTCCAGTTTCTAGAGCCATTAACCACAGCTGTTACCTACCTCTAATTAAAATATTTAAAGGGCTGTGAAAACAAGATGAACATGATTTTGTAATATTTTCATTTCTATACCTTGATTAATGTAAGTTGCAGGCAGATAAAAAACATTTTGTGATTTCCAGCACATTATTCTTTCTGACTGTTCACATTACTCTGATTTACCAAAGCACTTTGATATTACAACAGGAGCCTCTTCATATCTCTTTTACATTCACCGTTGACCTACTTTATGTCTTCTTTTTCCCTCACCACTTTAGGTGTCACTTTGCTTCTCAAAAGAAATCTTTAGATGCCTTTGACTTCTTGTATGGTATCCTTTCTAGTTTATCTTTCGATTTCTTCGTGTTCTCCTTTTTGATCGCACCAAAGGATTGCAGACACTCAGCAGCTCCTTAATGTGGTAATTTTGAAGTATACATTCTGTACAGCGTAAGAAAGTTACAATTGCTCTGTAGCTCAAAATGTTTGGAAGAAAAAATGATGTTAAAAAAGTCATGGTCTGAGCCAAGTCTCGCTGACCTGCCATAAACTTTGGTGAGGTTTGGAGCAGGGACTGTATTTCAATATTGATCTGGAACACATCTCTTAAAAAAAAAAAAAAAAAAAAAAAAAAAAAAAAAGGGGGGGGAAAGAAAAGTGGCAAACATTTCAGTAAACAGCAGTGATGAGTGCACTTCTGATTAAGGCATAAACAGGTCCAGAAAATGTCACCAGCCCACACACACCCAGGTACAGAAATCCCTGTTGGGGAAAAAGGTCTTTGGTGTACAATCACAGTTGTAATGATGCAAGCTGTAAAGGGTGAATAATAAAAATAGCAGATTGTCAGATTTTGTAAATAACACAGGGCTGGTGTGCACAGCTGCAAAAAGCTCTCCAAGCGTGGGCACAACGTTCCTGCCTGTGTGGCCATGGAGCCCCGTGAGAGCGGCTGTAAGCGTGGAGCTCGCTGCCCTGCCCTGCGAGAAGCCCGTGCCTCTCCCTCTCACAGCACAGTCCCGCTGGGAAAGCTGGGGAAGGAGCAGGCTGCTCTGTCAGCAGAGGGAAGAAGAAGAGGAAATAATGAAGGCAATCCCCTGAGGGAAGCTGAGCAGAAAAGACCTTTCGACCTGGCTAATGGCTGACATACGAGACTCCTGTGCCAGATCAATTGCTTCGACTAATGCGGAGGGTGACTGCTGGGAAGATCACAAAACCCCTGAGCCCGGGGAACTGCACCGGTTCGGCATTGAGATGAAGGCACTCCCTTGCCTGGGTGGAAGCAGAAAACAGAAACTGAATTTCACGTGGACAAATTTCAGGCTTGATAGGTTTTGATTCAGACCTGGAGAGTCGTAGTTGTTAAATGCACCCTGAAAGCAAATTTCACATTGGATAACTAGATAATGCAACTCTGGATGCATTAAAAATACAGGGCGCAGTCTTTTCTGTGTTTGTCATTGTGGCTGCAGGGCAGAGAGGATTTTATTCAAGGTAGAATGTAATATGACTTGCCTGTAAGAAGCAGTGTGAGCATTAAATGTCCTTTTAAAGATGCATCTTGTTGTAAAAGGGTTTCTGTAAAACACCAGGAAACGAAACCATGAAGCTTGATTTTGCTTCTGCCTAGGTCTGTGCGACCGATCTGAAAGGCAGTACCTTCCTGCCGAAGTTAGTTAAGTCTCTGACATGCAACCCAATCCTTAAGAAAGATGGGGAGGGAGTTGATGGTTGTGGAGGATATTTGACTCGTGTCTCTCGCGGCTCTTCTGCAGGGATGCGGTGCCTTGTGCAACCTTCCGGCTTTGCGGGGGAGAGGGCACCCTGTTACACAAAACAGAAGTGGTGCTGTGGGTTACTCGGCTCTTTTTAACCGATTCTGTTTTCCTTTTTTTCCGTTTATTTTCCCCGAGAGATGGCAATGGCGGGAGCATGAAGGCACCCTGGGGGATGGTGCATCTGCGCACCCAGCCCCCCGCTTTGCTTTGCTCTTGTGCAAACACAAAATTTATGTTCCCAGAGACCCAAAATCGCCGCCGGCGTCCCGGCGGGGCGGTCGGAGGAGAGGGGCGGCTCTTCCTCTGCAAACTTTTCCTGTCCCCTCCCTCGCCGCCTCTCTCCGTCCTCTTCTCTCCTCCCTGCCGTTCTCGGCTGCCCGTCGACGATGGATGAGAGGCCAGGGAGCAGCGGGACAGCACCGCTGCCCGTCTGGTCCTTGCCCGGTCCCCGCGGCCGCTCCCAAAGCGACATCTCCTCCTTCTCCTCCCGGAGGACCTGCCTGCTGCGGTCCAACGTGGGCGGCTCAGGTAAGGGCGAGGGAGGGAAGGGTCCTTGTGTCCGACACCTCGGAGCCGAGCTAAATTTGGGAATCTGGGGAAAGACATCCTCGCCGATAGCCTGTCCTGCTCTCCCAGATGTAGGACTACTCTCGGTGGCCAGTGGTGTGGATTTCTGGGGTACGTGGTGCTTGATCTTCTCCTTGATAAGATGTTTGGAGAGTTCCAGTTTTTATACCCATGTTCACACACATGAATGAATGAATCCTGGTAGCATCGTGCCTGCACATCCATTTGCCAAAGCATCTCCGACTGCAAGGGCAGAAAAGTCTCAGGAAACCTTCAGGGTGTATTGCCAAGACATCAAAACCCCTCACCTTGCTGCTTCACACATTACACTTCAACTGCATGTCAGAATTTTACCTCGTGCCCTTTTATCTGCTTAGAGATTTTAATAGGTGAGAAAAGCCAATGTGTAAGTCAGAATCCCACCATCTTCCTTCAGGAGTCAATCCCTGCTAGTGCACACAGGAAGACTGGGGGTGGAAGCTGGCCCTTTGGGACAGAGTAGGCTTCCTGCAGGATTTGGAGAAGCTTTGCTGTATAAAATAAGAGGAAGTGAGGGTCCTAATTTACAGTGCAGAGACTCAAAACCCACCAAAGTGGCTGGGCTGTGCTTTACTCAGTGTGTCTCCAGAGGTAGGGCACTAAGGAAAATGAAATTCCGGTCTCCATAGGGCTGAGCACATTTTGAAAATATGTTCTTGCCGAGTTGCAAATCAGCCCTGCTCTGTTGACTAGAAGTCTGTAGGCACACACACCCTGGGGATGTTGGTATTTTGGATGCACTCACACACTGCTGCACAGAGGTACCCGTGAAACACCATCAGGGAAGCTCCAGAGTGCACTGAGGGACCTGCTCTGCTGCAGCACAGGACAGTGCAGTGCATGGTTGGGCCTGCAATGGACCACAATGTTCTCTTATGTTTGTTCCTCAGGGAATCTTAAGATGAAGCAGAACATTTGCTTGGGGAAGATCAGGTATACAGCTATGCCTGCCTGATGAGGAGAGAGGGAATGAAAATTTACTTAGTCACATAGGAGCAAGTAGATTCAGCTTATGGAGCCAGAGGCTGCTAGCAAAAACAACTCTGTGCCATTTTCTGTATAATTTTCTGTTTTACCTTTTTCTGCTTAAAATTTATGGTGAAAGATATTTGGGACAGGGAGGAGGGAGAAGGTTCTAGTGCTTCACAAAGGACTACTTTTAGGAATAAGGTGTATTTCAGCACCGCCTGGAGAATGCTGCATGAACAATGCCCTGTGACTGGATGTGAGCACCCCTGGATCCAGAGAGATCCCCACACAGGGATCCCCACAGAGGCTGACAAGACTGAGACCATGTCAATGTAGACTGTGTTTGTTGGTGGTTTAACTACAAAGACACCTGACAACGAGATGGGTTCATTATGAGATTCTGGTAAATATAGTGGAGGTGAAATGACAATGTTTTCAAAGATGTGTTGTTATTTGTAGTTTCTTACACACGACATTTTAGCATCCTTGTTGCCTGACTTGATTTTTTATTTTAATTTTGAGGATGTGCTTCCTGCCAGTAAGGAACAAGTGTTGCTTTCTTTGGTTTTTTTTTTTTTGTTTTGGTTTTTTTTTTTTTTTTGTCATATTTTCTTTAATTGTGTATTTTCTCCCTTGCTGCTTCCTGTATATTTTTTTCCAGTTGCTCATTGGACACAACAAAAACACTTACATATGGCCACACAACTGTTGATTCTGTCTTCAAAAAGGAAAGTATGCATTAAAGATGCAAAGCTGTTTAATTTTTAATATGGTGGTTAGAGAATGGGTTGTATACTGAGGTGCCATTAAAATAACCTGCTTTTTCATTCCCCTAGTAACCTGGAGAACAACTGTAATGGGGACAGAAATGTGAAGAAACAATATGAGTCATTATTTTTGCCTCTACCTTTTTCTCTAGCCATATCATTTGATTAAAGCCATATCATTTGATTAACATGATGTTACCTGTGCTCCAACAGCTGCATGTATAGAAGAACAATTTGCATTTTAAATTGCCTGCAAAATGTTTGCTTTATGCCTGTTCCAAGACTGAATAACTTGCAACTGCTGGCAGCTTCTGCTGCATGCTTGTTTTCATTTTCTAGAACCTGACATGAGTTGTGCTGAGATGTTTTCTCCTCACACTCTTTCAGTGATGGGTTGGTACCCCTGTAGAGGTTCACACTGTCATTTATTTTACCACCTCCTGATCCACCATTCTCAATGCAGAATCTGTTAAAAGGCAGTATTTTTAGAGACCCTTCTAGCTAGGGGAAATATAATGGCTTTTTATAAAGCAGCTTTGGCAGTGGTTCATGAAATGCATCTATCTGTTTATTATTCTAGGTCAGTACTGTATGTATCCTGATAGAGCAGTGAGGCTGCTCAGGTGGTCCCCATGTTTATGCTGCCTGTGCTTTCTTAGCCCCACTCCTTCTTCTGCTGCTCTTACACACTGACACAAGCAACTTCCTGGTGTCCCTTCACAGCATCTCACTTCATTAGCTGCCATCCAGTACGTGAGGACAATATGTTTTCAGGATTTTCTTCTTAAAGCTGACCTTTTCTTTTAGTTCTAGTGGTAGAAGATGATTTCATTTCTCTTTCTGGGCTGTCACCTCCATCCACTGTTTTGTCAGGCCTTTCTATTTGTGGTAAGCTTCTAGGAGGAATTAAGTGATACTCACCACAAGTATGGGTGGCATGATCTAGAATTTTGATTTAGACCCTGAAAAAGTGTAATGTTAGCAAAGTTCAAAACCTCTGTGGCAGGCATAGCTTGTGCATCACTTTAACATTGTGGTATGCCCCAGCTGACAGCTGGCTGGTCTGTCAGAGCATCTGAAGGAGATGAGTGAAGGAAAAAATTACTCTTCTAAAATTTCAGGCCAACACCAGAGCCACTTGCAGAAAGCTGCTTGAATTATGTACCTTTAAGCAGTCTTCCATGTTTAGTGACTAGATTTAAACCCACCTTAAAGGTGGATCAATTTAGTCGAGTTTCTTAATGTGTCCAGCACAGATGGGGACGGAACTGCAATTGGAAAAAAAAAGACCCTGCTCAAGTGCTTTCCCATAACTCATCCAAAACCTAGATTTGGTGGTTGTGGGGCTGAAGGAAGCTCTCAGCACGAGCTGTGGGTCCTGGGTTGCAGGGTGGAAGAGGTGCTGTTTCACATCACATCCGATGGCAAAGCAGTGGCAGTGGCTCTCTTTGTGACAGCCCTCAGGCACCAGTCTCTGCTGCTACGGTGCTGCTCTTTATCTGCATTGATC